CTAGAATGAAATGGGGTTAAGATAACAGCTTAATACCTTCCCAAAAGATGCCAACTGAAGTAGATCTTGATTCCCAAGAGTTCCTTGCTTCAATCCACTTGTTTTCCCCAAGCCCTTCTCCCCAAAAATCCTCTTCCAAAGCTTAAAACACACAATGGAGCACACACACACACGTATTAGGGTTTTGCTGAGCTCTCAAGGGAATGTAAAGAGGATGAAGGAGGCTTATGATTCTTTAAATAGGGTGCAAAACCCCGGAAATTAGGGTTTCACCCTCCAGCTCCAACTCATCGAGTCACTCTTCCGACTCGGCGAGTTGGTCACTTAAACACATGTCCCAAACCCGCTACTACTCGACGAGTCAGGGCATCCAACTCGTCGAGTAGACCTTGAAACTTTAAAATTAAAGCCATAACATTAATACCTGAGAATCACGGCGTTACAAAAATACAATCCCGACTTTAGAAAAAAAAATAATTCAGAAACCATTAAACCAATATAAGTTATCTTTAACTATAATCTAGAAAAAAACTAATACCTGAGGAATGAGAGCCGCTGAATCATAATTACAATTATAATTTCATAAACTTCACTAATCACTCGACCACTCAATAGTGTGGATAAAATCCTGAAAAAAACCAATAATTAGAACAAACACATACTCAAATCAAAGAAACAATTAATTAATCAAACAAACCTTAATAAAAAAAATTTCAAAATCAATGTTATGTCATTTTATGATTTCACAAAAGTCAAAAAATCGGTGTCTTTGATTTCTCTCGGTGGAAAATTGGAGATGGTGACTTAGTGACTTTAAAATTGTTTCGTAATTTGGGTGGGACTACCAACGGATCTACCGACTACCGACTACCAAAGAGCCGAACTCAAGAAGAAAAGGTCAAAAATCAGAAGGAGAGAATATGAGAATTGAGAACCTGTGATGGTTGTAAATCATGATCGACAATGGGCAAAGTTAGGGGAGTTCGTTTGGATGGATTCGTTCGATCCGATACAATTAAGTAAATCCAAATTGATTTCGGTTTTCAAAATATGGATTCAAATAGTCTAAACTAAATTGAAATCCGATCTGATCCGATTCAATTACAATTCGGTTGGATCGGTTTTTATAATTCGGTTTTCAAAAAGCCGAAAATTTTAAAACGACATATAGTTATAATATTATCCGATTTTTACAGAAGAAGCAAAAATAAAATATTTACTTGCGATTTAAAATTTATAAACAAATACTAAGAATATATATTATAGTTTAATATTTAATAGATAACAAACTTTTGAGAGAAAATGCATATTAATTATTTTTATTAGGTGAAACCTTTTGATCTTATTTGAAAAAATAAATAATAAAATTAATAAATAATTATAGATATATTAAAATGTAAGTATATAATAAATCGTTATTCAGTTTTTTTGGAAAATTCGGTTCTAATTTTATAAACCAAAAACCAATCCGAATTTCAAAATAAAATTTGGTTTTGTTGAAAACCAATCCAAAAATCCGAATATCCGAACCAAATAGTCCAATCCAAATTGTCCAATCGGACAATTCGGGTTTATCCGAACAGTGAACAACCCTAGGCAAAGTAGATTAACATGATTACGAGAATGCCGAATTAACGTGATTACGAGAATGCACGACTCCTCATTTTCATCTACTGCTTTAATTTAGGTGTGATTGTGTCATTTGTACGCTGATTTGCTTCATTCAGTTACGGCTTGTTAGTGAGGGTTTTTTTCTTTTTTTTTGTAAATTCAATAAAGGAAAATATTGACATAAAGAAAAGGAGGGGAAGAAAAAATTCCCTTATTCCGTGTTCCCGAGTTCGAAGGAAATGAAAGGAAATTTTTAAGTTATTGTGTTCCCGAGTTAGGAGGAAAAAGAAAAGAAAATTAAAAGATTTTCATTCCCCTCACTTTCTATTAGAATCCACCCAATTTGGAAGGAAAATATGGCTCCAAATTCTTTTCTTTCCCCTCACTTTCCTTCCATCAGTTAAATTCGGGAACACGATTTTCCATCGACATCCTTCACCTTCCCTCCATATTCATCTATATCCCTCCTTAAATATAACTCGGGAGCAAGGCGTTAATTTAGGCATCATTTGCTTCATCATATTTTCCCATGCGTTTTCATTTTCGAACTGGGCTAAAAAATTTCGGTGGATTATAAAATATGGCCCAACAAGCTTGTAGATACCCATAATAATTTTTTAAAATTTGATGCCCCTTAGCCTAGTGATACCCTTGGGCCATGGCCCTATTGCACCCCCCGGCATTATTTTTTAAGAATACATTGTTCGCTGATGAAGGTTTTTCATACATATTGGATAACGTTGAAATCAAATTGTATTTAGCCTTCTCATTGGTAATGTTGTAAGTAATGTAATGTTGTAAGTAACGTTTGTTGTCAATAATAGCCTCACCATGCCAAAAGCATGTCGATCCAAACTATTCCAGTGATTCTGCTTAATCGCTTCAGGTTTCTTTTCGGTCAGAGGTTCATGTAAATTATTTTGATAGAGGTAATATTCAATCTGTATTTTTGAAACCAGAAATCGTGACCTTGAAATTTGTCAATCTTAACATTCTCCTCTTTAGTCATAGCTATGATGCCTATTGTTAGGTCAAATAAGCACTCTCATAAACGATGAACAATCTCACAAAGAGTAATAAATGCAAATTCAAAGAAAAAGACACGTTCAATTTACCTTATTCACACAATCAGCAAGATTGGCTACGTCTACATCGAGCGAGAGTGAGAGTGAGAGATGTTGATTATTTTCTACCATAAAAGGCTTCACTTGTAATGAACATTAGGGTTACAATCAATGAAACTATTTATAGAGTGGTTGATTTAATAATTATGTGCTGAAGCGTCATGGGTCTTTGTCAAGACTGGTATATATGGCCTACTGACCAATCGAGGCAAGCTGCTCTTTAAGAAAACCTAAGTCAACCCGCTGAAGGTATAAGTAGTGTTGACTCCACCTCCAAGCATAAGCAGCTGCAGACTCCACCGAACACAAGCAACTACTCCAAGCATAAGAAGCTACATACTACTCTTGCGAACATCTAAAGAATAAACCACTCTCTACACTTAATAAAAAAACTCACGTGCAGGGCCGGCTCCCAGATTTTAAGGACCCTGTGCTAAGAAGAAAAATAGGACCCTAAATTAATATATAAGGAAAACAAACTTAAGACGGTGAAAACTTAAAAGTAAATAAATTAACTAAAAAGAAACATATGGAACTTTATAAAAAGTTCAAGGGCTAATTATATAAGTTTTAAAAACTGATTTGTTAAACATATTGGAATGATGGTTGATTATGAAATATAAAGCAAAAATTAATGGCCAAAATTGTAACTTGAATTTAAAACTTCAAAATGTGGTGGCCATGAATCCAACCTATATTGCTTCAAACTAAAGTATGCGCTTATACCAGTTACGCTACACAAACTTTATGCAAAATTTTGAATAAATTCATATATATTTAGTTATTAAATATATAATTTAATTAAAACTCGGACCTTATTTTTTTTCGGGGCCCTGTGCGGCTGCCCCTCCTGCTCCCCTTAAAACCGGGCATGCTCACGTGTTATTAAACCTTGATTGTTTTATTAAGCTAAAATTGAGCACATATTTATGGGCAATATTAGGTGTGTAGCCATCATCCTTATAAGGCTATAAGAAAGGAACAATGGATAGTATAATGATATGTATGATGGATGGATGTAGTTCATTAATAGGTTGTAGTCATCCATTTTTCATATCAACAACAATATTTATTTTATCAACAAATGTGTCAACATCTCCAACAATCAACATATCTACCTCAAATGTGTTAAAAAAAGATTTAAAAATAAAAATGTTAAACTATATCCATAAAATCAACAAACAAAAAAGTATATTTATAACTAACATCCGTAATTGATGAGTTTTTTTCACAAAGATTATCTATGGGTCGTACTAATATAATTTATAAAGTAAAATAAATAAAATAATATTAAAAATATAAATAACTTATATCCATTGAGTTTGTAGATTTTGTAATCAATATAAAAAAAATCAAAGAAAAGCCTTCATAACTTTTTTCGACTTTTCAATATGTAACACACCAATAAGCTTTAAAATAAATAAATAAATCTTGTTTATGGATTTTTTTTAAACGGCTAAATATATTAAAAGATAAACACTTGAAAAAAAATTACAAAGTGGTTAAAAGAGGGTTTTCAAGCCATAAATTCCAATCAATGTCATTGAAATCACTCTAATAATAGTTTTTGTTTCAAATACTTGATCATTGTCATTGAAATCACTCGTTTATTTTCTTGGACAATTTCCATGAAATTGGAAAAACATGTGTCCCTTGTTAATGTTATTTTCAAATGTAAAATCTAAAAAGTATACAAACGGAAAAACTAAATAGTATACAAATGCATGAGATACGTAGCTAAGAATTAATTCATTTGTATTAAACATATCTTTATCTTTCATCTATAGTTGTAATCATTACTTTTAGATGACAAACTCTTTATTGATATTTAACTTATTTTTAATCTTCTAATTTAGTATGAGTCATATATTTTATAATCCATTTAACAACTATAGTTTGAATGTTATCATTTTAATCTATTGCACGTTCGATTGAAATTGATTCCAATGGTGTTGATATTCTTCCTCTAATTCCAACTTTGTTTATTACAATGGAGTTTACACACGCTTAACTATTCTCGGTGAAATCCTGAAAGAAGAAGATGCATCAACATTTGTAATTTCACCAATCTTTCTCAATCGCTTCTTACCCTTCGAAAGTGTCTTAATCGGCTCCTCAATCACCGTTTTCTGACCACGAGTCCTTAAAGCGATTGTCGGCGTCTCAGACTCAATACCTCTGGAGATTCTCGCCGGACTTTCCTTTGTATTCGCAACGAAATCAAACTCATCAGAAAGCTTCCTCACCGGAAACTTCCTAGCTGGCACGTTCTCTTCGCCTTCGCCTTCATCGTCCTCGTCAACCAAACCCAGAAACCGCCTCTTCCGCTTGTTAGCTAGCGGAGCTGGCGGCGGCGAGGGGCTCCGACTCCGATCCATATCAGCCCCTTTCTTCTTGGCTGATTTTTCCGACGATTTGGAAATGGGTTTTTTCTTTGATGACGGCGGGCTTAGGGATTCTTTCTTCTTAATTGACTCCTCGATCTGGCTCCGAAGCTTCTCGATGTTGCCTTCGATACGACCTTGAAGACGATGGCGCTTAACGTTTAAGCCACCCATTGACCAGTGAGCTTCTTCTGACCACGACATTAAAGGATCTGTAACAGAAACAGGTGGGTCGACTCGGTAGGAGTTGTACTTGATGTCTGTGTAGATCCGTGGTCTTGGGAGGCCGCTTCCATAAAACTTTCCAGGACCTAAAGCTACCACCATCTCTCGGGTCTCTCTGTAAGAACACAAACGAATAGCCAAAAGATCTGTATGATTTTGAAGCAATTAGGTTTAGGAAATGAAACTGTTATGTGTGAGTAGTGATACAGATAGAGATGGCATCTTATAGATGGTGATTTGGGAGGGATATGGCGCAACAAGTATTTTGGGCGGGACAAGAAAGGGTTTTACGGCGCCAAGGTGAAATGCGGGAGCTTTGAAATGGATTAGGTTGAGTTAACACACTTTAATTTGTTTTTTTAATCTTTGATTAATATATTAAACACGATTAAACGACTTTAATCACTAAAATATCCAAATATGAGGCGTAACTATACCATGAAAAAAACAGTTGTATAAATATGTTAATATTCTTCTATTTACCATTGTTCCTTACAAACCTTTCTAATTTGAAATATTTTCTAATTTGTAAAACATTTTGCTAAAACTATATAAGAATTTTGTAACTTTAGTATTTGTAAAAAGTAAACGCAATAAAGTAAGGTAAAACCAATCTGTTAACGGCTAATCTTGAAAGTAGAATAATTGCACAGATCGCACTCTTGTTTTTAAAGGTTTTTACTTCGCTTCTATCGGTTGTAAGCAACAAAGTAAAACCCTAGGGTTTAATGCAGATTTACCGAGTTTCCAACAGCAATGGAAACGATAAACGCAAAATGAATACTCATAAATTTGGAAGAAAATCGCCAAGAGAGGAAGAGGGCTTTGAATTTCGTGTGTGGAATATGGCTCCTAGAGAGCTGTATTTATAGGTATCGAAACGCTAGGAGACAATAAAGGGACCTAGAAACCCTAGGGCAACGCCTTGCTCTCCGAGCAAACCGTTTTCTGGGCCTTCCAGAAGATTTTGTTACCTTATTCACGAGTCAATCGTTTGACCAGATCGGTCAAACCGACTTGACCCGAACTTCGCCAAAAAATAAAAGCTCATTGGCTCCCTGCGACCGATGCGTCATCCAAAGTGCCAAGTGCGCCTAAATCGCGCCATTTCACGCACTCACGACGTTGGCTAGTGCTAAGCTAGGCTAGGCGTGCGTGTGTGGGTTTGGTTCATTCATTTGATCCACTAAAGCCTTTGAAGTCATATTAAGGGAAATGGTTTATAAGCTTACAAAAGGTTTATTCCCCCACCAATGTGGGATAGAGGAAACTTTCCAATTTGCAATATTTCCTCTATAATTTCCAACAATCCCCCACCAAGTTGGAAAGTTTCATTTCATTCAGACATATGATGTCACTTGGGTGTCACGAAGATTAAACCCTAGTTTAATGAGAACAAATAAGAAGAGACCAATTCAATGGTTTCCTTATAGTTTTAAACCATGAACCTTGTGACCTCTCTGGTTTACCCCCCACACATCACATGTCATCTTTGCGTTCTCCCTGAGCGCTAATATGGTCATGCGCTATAAATACTTTTCACGACCCTTTAGAAGATAAACCACTAGTCTTCACTTGAGGCGGCACCACCTCTAGATCATATTGACAAAGTTTTACAACATATTTGTTGTTTAGATGTCTCCAAAACTTTGTTAAGAGTTGTAACTCAACTTCGTTCTCGGCAATGACATACTATCCTACCTCATATGGATCTATCATTAATGATAGTACCTTCTATCGTTAGTGACTTCGTTGTTACCCTTTAAACTTGAGAATTAGGATCATTAATGTCAAGTTGGGTTTTCATCACTAAGCGGTTCTATTGTGGTTTTAGACCCATGACTCTCATGGTAGATGTGACCAAATCTCCCGTCATGTCACACCCCCAAACCAAGGATGGCGGAAACGTCCGGGGGTGGAGGACTTCATGTATAGTATCACAA